CTGGCCACGGGGAGCCAGCCCTGCCCCAGGACGTGGCAGACAGAGTCCTGCTGCTCGTCTTCTCCACGGACAAGTCTCCAGGAGACCACAGCCTCATCAGGACAGCGGAGACCTCCAAGTACATCATGCGTGACAGCGGCTCCCAGGGCGAGGGGACGCGCCGGCACCGCAGGAACAGGATGGAGAAGCAAAGGATCAAAGCGAGCGACGCCGCTGCGGCCACGCCGCGGGAGGAGGGCAGGGCCCTGTGCAGGCGGGTGGACATGATGGTGGATTTCGAGCAGACGGGCTGGGGCAGCTGGATTGTCTACCCCAAAAAGTACAACGCCTACCGATGTGAAGGGCTGTGCCCCTCGCCCGTGGATGAGACCTTCAAGCCCACCAACCACGCGTACATACAGGTAAGAGGAGCTGCCCCCGCGCCCCCCACACTCCCAGCCCTCCACCCGCGGCAGGGGGGATGTTCTGCCCTTCCCGTGTCCCCCACAGAGTTTGCTGCAGCTCTACAAGCCCAACCAGGTGCCGTGTCCCGCCTGCTCCCCGGTCAGGATGAGTCCCCTCTCCATGCTCTACTACGAGAAGGGCGAGATCGTCGTCCGCCACCACGAGGACATGATCATCGAGGAGTGTGGCTGCAACTGAGGCCACCTCGGCCCCCGCTGGGAAGGGGCACATCTCTGCCCAAAAGTGCCCCCAAGGACCGACCACCCGACCTACAGCCATCACACAGACCGAGGCATCTCGAGCCCGTGTGACTGTGGGTCGGCAAAGCCCTGGCTGGGCCAGGGGAGGAGTGGGGTGCCGGGGTGTTAGCAGTGCTTCATGGCCACGGTGCATGGCTGGATCCGGGCTCCATGCAGGAAAGGCCACCAGCTACCTCCTTGTGGCACCTTGGTGCCCCACACTGTGCTTTTCCAGGAGCTGTGGTGCTGCTGGAAGGTGTGCCTGGGGCAGCCGAGGGCAGAGGCAGGAGCTGAGGTGCAGGGCTGGAGCATGGCAGCATCACTCCCTGCCATGGCACACTCTGCTCCCTCCGTGAGGCCGTGGATCTGCTCAAGCCTTTTCCCCCCTCGCTGGATGGGGTGGTAGAGAAAGGGTCACAGTTGTAAAACTCATCAATAAATTATATATATATATATTAAAAAGGCCTGGTGGTTTGGCTGATTTCCACAGCCCGTTTTTGCTGTTGGTGGTCTGTCAGGGTGCAGTTCCTCCATCTCTCTGTCCATTTGCTCCTTCACCAGTAACACCAGAGCAAGTGGGCTCTGGCTGTTCCCGACACTGCCAGAGCAAAGGGGTCCCTCCAACAGTGCAAAAGATGCTCAGAAGCTCCAAAGTTCACGTGAGATAAGGACGAAGCTGCTCCCACCCTGATGAGAGGTTGCTCAAGAGCAAGCAGGGAGGCACCTGCAGGAGGGGAAGGGGAGGCTAAAGGGATTTCCCACCCTTATTTACCCCTCGGAGATAAGGGAAGGGCCGTGCTCTCTAACAGCAGTGAATTCTAAGCCTTGTGGCCGGTGCAGCTCCTTTGGGTCACCGACCCGGTGACAGCAGGAGAACCCCAGCCCCAGGGAACGCCCGGGGCCTCCAGTGCCCTGGGGTGACCGTGTCCCCCCTGCACCCCAGTCCTGGCGGGGGATGCTCCTCCTGGGCAGTGAGGGGCAGTGCTGGGGGTTGGCTGCAGCCCCGGCAGTGGGTCTGGGGTCCCCCAGGCTCAGGGCTGCCCCCGTGGATGGGGACACGGCACTCGCGGGGGGGACCCACGGTGGCCCCCGCGCAGCCGAGGGGACGGGAGGGACCACAAGCATCGGGGCTGGCGGCGGGTGGCCGGGTGGCTTCGCAGGATGGGAGAGGGGCCACCTCCATCCCGCCCCTCCCGGGACCAGCAGCCCCGACTCCACATCCCAGCCCAGCCTGATTATCCCCAATCCACATCCCAGCCGGCGGATAAACAAAGCGTGTCTGGTGTGTCCCCCCTCCCCAGCAGACCCTCCCCGGGGCCGCTTACATATTCCAACAGCTTTCACACTGCGACCATCCCGTCATTAGAGGGTCATTTGCAGGAGCTGTCAAGGGTGGGCCGGGGGCGCGGGGCTGACCCCCGGCAGGAGGCAAAGCCATGCAGAAACCGGCACATCTGCGCTGTGGGTGACATGAAATCACATTATTTTGCCTCTTTCTCCGCAGTTTTGCCACTCCTGCTCATAAACGGGAGGATTCACACCCTCACGCCCAGCCCGGGACGCCCTGGCCCCCCCAGCCCCCGCTGTATCTCTGCCATCTCTGCCCCTCCATCACGCCTGTTTGGAATCCAGCAGCGGGTTCAAAAGTTGTGGCGGGGCAGGGGGAGGCAGCAGCCTTTCCCTGGGAAGAGCGGGGTGGAAAAATAAAGGCTGAGATTCCAGGGCTGTAAGGAAAACATCAAAGTGCGGGCGGTGACAATAAAGCCGGGTTTAGGCGAGGATCTGCTGGCGAGCCGGGCTCTGCCAGGCTCGGGCTGTGAGCAGGGACCTGATCTGAGCAGGGAGAGCTGTGGCCCTGCTCCTGCCCCAATCCACATCGGCTGCGGGGGGGCCGTGGGGGGGACAGAGGGAGCCCAGACATGCAAGATAGTAAAGTGGGGGGACAGCCCCAGCCCTGCCATGGGGTGCTGCCTGTGACCCGTCAGCATCCCAGGGCCGGGGGGAGCCAGCAGGTCTCTGCTCTGGGAAGGGCTGGCTTGGTCTCAGCAGCCTTAAACATAAAGGACAGAGCCTCCCCGTGCAGGGAAGGTTTTCCAGCAGGGAAGGTGCCTGAGGTTTTCTGGGAGGGTAAGACTTGGATACAAGCAGTGACCACTCGGGGAGCACGGGAGTGTGGGGCAGCTGAGCCTGGCTGGGATCAGTCTGGAGGGACAGGGGGATGGCAGGCACGGATTGCTTTGGACACACGAGGAAAGAGCAAAAACAAACAGGCCAAGGGGCTTATCACAGGCCCAGGGTAATATTTGTACAAGTGGTGCACTAAAAGGCACGAGCTGGGGCGGGCAGGTGGTGTTTGTCCTGTGACTGGGACACAGAGCAGGACACAGGGACATGGAGAAGGACTCAGGGACACGGAGTAGGGCACAAGGACACAGATTAGGATGCAGGGACACGGAGGAGGACTCAGGGATGTGGAGCAGGATGCAGGGACACCGGGTGTGCTGCTCTACCCTCCTGCGACAAAAAGGGGCTGGGATGGGAAATGCAATGACAAAGCCAACACTTGTCCCTGGACCTCCCCAGAGCATCCCAGCTGTGCCACAACCACCCACAGCTGCCTTCCCTCCCTCCCTGCCTCCCACCATGCTCACCAGGGCTCAGCCTGCAGGAAAAGCAGCTCCTTGGCCTGGGAGTGCAAGTGTTGGGCAAGGAACAGAGCCTGGTGGAGAGGGAACTGCCCTGGAATGCTGAGCTGCTCCGTGCAGGGCTCAGGAAAGCTTGGAGAGCTGCAAACACGAAGGCAGGCAGGAGATGGATCCAAAACTGCCCAGCTGAGGGATGCAGTGGCTGGGGGTGTGAGGGAGGGGGTGAAGGACCGGAGCAATGGGGCGCTGAGACCACTTGGTCCCACGCCACGGGTGGAAAAGTTCAAGGAATGGGCTCGGGACAAATTGCAGGGAGCAGATGCCCACAAGCATCACCTCATCCCATCCACAGCTTTGGTCAGGACTCTCTCTGCCCCCCACGACTGCCCCCAAGTGCCTGTGGCCCCAGGGCCCTGGCCGGGAACCCAGCAGGAGCCCTGACCCTCCCGGACAGAGCCCTGGTCACACCTGGCCAGGTGTTTCACAGGCAGCCCTCCCTCCCTCGGAATTATCAGCTATGCATTGCTGTCCCAGGCACCTGGGGCTTTGATGCTCCCCCAGATCTGCATAAGCTTCAGATACCAATGCAAAGCTTCCAGGGCAGGGACAAAGTACTTAACACTTCCAGCACGTGTTACCTCTCCTGCAGGTGGGAGGGAATGGGATTTAAGAGCATTACCTGCAATACCTGACACTTACCCCAAAATCCAGGCCTTTGTACCGACAGCAAATCCTGACCCCACAAGGCTCTTGCAGCAGCTCCTCTCCAAACCCTCATCAGAACCAAACCTGTGCAGAGTTGCAAGACTGATAAAGTCACACCAGAGGGCAATAAATTTGGATTTGTTCCCATTAGGGTTTCAGAGAAACCCTTAAATCTTATCTTGGAGAAATGCGGGTTTATCTGCAGCAATTGCTTTGTTCTGTTACTCATTATTAAGGGTTTGCATATCATAATGTCACCACTGAGACTCATTAGCAGATATTTAAAAGCTATCTACAGAATCTGATCTGCACAGACACTCATTGTGGTTCAGGAAGTCTGAGGTCCAGGCTGTGCCCTGATATGGATTGTCCTCCTTTGAGGTGCCTCCACTCCCCCTCAGCATTCACACAGCAATGTGTTAGAACCTCTTGCAGACCACATTTATTAAACCCGAGGCTAAAAATGCAGATATTTGGTCGATGGGGATGCAAATTGGGCATTCCCCACGGAAAAATTAACTTTTCTCACATGAAAATTCCCCTCTCAAACCCAGATTTGTTTCTAACCCCCCCCCCCAGCCAAACCCTCTTTCCCAAAGCCCTGACCCCTGCCTACCACAGGATAAAAAGGAGAAACAAGGGTAAAGTAGCACTGGAGTTTTAGCAGGGATGACAAACCCAGGTAAGCACTCACCCCCCAAAGAGACCCGCTGTGGAACACCTCAGGCCAGTGGTTTCTTGCTGGAATAAGGGACAGAAGCCTCATTTATTGCATTCATCTCCACACCAGGAGACTCCACATGATTTTTATTTCTCCCTTATATAGCATTTCTGTAACTGTTACAGTATTAAAATGATTAACAAAAGCATAAAACTGGAACCAAAACCAAGGGGTGAGAGTGTCTCCTCTGGCACTCTGAGACCCGGCCCCTGGAACAGGACACGCTCTGCTCTCCCAAGGGAATCAACTGCCTTTCCCAGGAGCAGGAAGGCACTCAAGGCATGGGCTGCTGTAAGCCTGGCTGGTGGGAATCCTCAAGACAAGTCCTGGTGCTTCACTGGATCAGCACTCCCCGGGCAGGTGCGTTAGATGTCCATGTCAAACTGCTCTTCCTCACCTGCTGAGGGGACAAAACCACAAATGAGTCCTCTGAGTTCCACACTGAATACCAGGGATTGTGGTGAAGGGGTGACTGGCAGCTCTGCTTCAGAAATGGGGCTGTTTGGGCTTAAAAATCTGCATTCAGGCATTGAGGCTGGTGTGAAAACCATCTCGTGAAGCTCTTGTAAAGGTGTCAGCCCTGGGGGATCTTCCTCTGACCAAAAAGAGCAGAGGCAGAAAAAATGCCCTTTAAATAATTTATCCCTACCCCTTGATGTCCTTCTAACAGGGAATGTAAGGACCCACGTTGGTGACAATCACTGGTACGAACCCACACAGGCACATTTCACAACCATTATCCCTCCAGCTGCTCCCACAGCCTGGCAGGAGCCAGCCAGAGCAGCCAGGATCTGTTCCTGGGCACAGGGATTCTCTGGGAGAGTCACAACCCAGCGCCCAGCCTGTATTTCAGGGTGCCAGAGGGTCCAGCGAGACACTTGAGGTCACAGGAGTGTGAAGGCATGAGGCAACTCTGGAAAGATTCTGCTTGGAGCGAGCATGGAAGCCAACAGGAGCCTTCAGGACTTTATTTTTAGAGAGAATATAAGTACTTGCACTTGGTAGCTTCATGTTGCTTCAAGAACTAACCTCAAATAACTCTAAGAACAGTTCTTCAAGAGCAACACTGGCCTCGGTGAAGTGTCCCTGTCACAAAGTGGGGTCAGAAACAGGCAGGAGGAATTTACAACTCGTGCTGATATTAAAAACCCTGAGTAAATCCTACTGTGAATTGTAACCTGAAGCCCCAAGCAGCTGCAGCACGGCCCAGGACAGGGAGAGGCAGCAACAGCTGCCTCCTCTGCTCTTCACAGGGCTCCCGATCCAGCAGCAGCCTCCCAAACGCTGAATTAACGGGAATTACAGCAAATCACACTTAATAACCGAAAAAGTCACGTTGCTGGGGCCCACGGCAGGGCCACACAGCCACGAGAGCCTCGTTACCCCCATGGCATCGAGCCCACTCCGGTTTTCCAAGAATTCCCTGGAGCACTGACCACGGCTCATTGGAAGCTCCTGGCTCCGTGCCAGCCCTGGAATTTCCAGGAACCAGCCGTGCCCCTCACGGGTTGCTGGGTCCCCGCTGTCCCCGCTCACCTGCGCTGGCTTTCTCCTCACAGTTCTGCACGTGGTGGTTTTCCAGCTTCAGCTCCTCCGCGCCGGGGCTGGTGACGCCTGGAATGTCGGGAAGGTCGGAGGGGGGTGTTTTGGCCACCGGGGAGTTGCGGCACTCCATCAGAAACTTACGGTCGTAGATGATCCTGGTACCTGGGGAAACGGGGGGGACAAGAACATGGTCAGGTGTCCCTGCCCAGCGTTGGAGCTGGATGGTCTTTAAGGTCCTTTCCAACCCCAAACCACTCTGGGATTCTTGGATATTTAAGTGATAGCTGTGATTTAGCACTCACTGCTCAGGCTGTGTTGCCCCACAAGAAAGCCAGGCACCTGAACACTGTATCTGTAAGTAAAGGTGAAGGCTCGAGCACCCAAATGCTGCCCAGAGGGAACACAAGGCTCCAAACCCAGCCCGGTGCTGGAAGTAACAGATCCAGTCCCTTCCACCTCGCCCAAGGTCACAACAACCCGCAGAGCAAACAGAAAATCGAATTTAATTTCTACCCATGGCCAGAAGCAGGGCCAAGAGCTGCAGGTGGACACACTTGGACACACCAGGGGCCAGGACGTGGCCATGCTGTGCCCGCACAGACACCTCCCTTGGCAGGGCAGCAGTTACACACACCTTGCTCAAGGCTTACACAGAGTTGTTAATGCTCCAAGGGTTAACCAGCCCACAGGCAGCTCTCCCTGCCCAGCAAGACAAGCCAGCTCCAGCCCATCACAGCGAGCCTCCGGGCACAGATTTCTAGGAATACACGGAACAGCCTGTTCCTTGTAAAGGAATTGCATGGAAAAAGCTCCAAAACCACAGGCAGAAAAGGGATCTCCCTCCAAACAGCCCACAGCCTTAACCCAGGAAGTGCTGGAAAAGCGTTTGCTTTCCAAGGGCTGCACACCCCCCTGGATCAGGTCTGTCCTGCCCTGCTCCTGTTCCAGCCAGAGGGAGAGGAACTAGTCCTTGTGACCTCCCCAAAAGTGTTAACTAAAGTACACATGTGTGGGCAAACAGCTCCCGTTACCATCTGTCCTGGAACAGTCAACTCCCTTCGCTTTGAACACTATAAATATAAAATAAATATATATAAACCAACGTGTCCGGGTGTTGTGTTCCAGCGGAGTTCTGCAGGGGAGTTCCCAAAACACCGAACAACTTCTCACTCAGGGTTTTGAATCTGAGTTGTTTCACAAGGTGTGTGTGGGGGGAAATCCAACCCAACGTGCAGCTGGCTGGGACAGGGGTGTCAAGATTCCTGGGAAGCTCGGGGAGCAGGACTAAGACAGGGATTCCTGGAACTGCAGCTCATGTACCAGCACCAGGAGCTCAAGGGCTTCCACATCCTCTGACAGCCACGTGCCCAGAGCTCCCGAAAGCAAAAGGACTCTGGGCTGTCACAGAGCCACAGACAGGCTCCTTCACACCCCCAAAGCTGAGTTCCCTGCTGCTGTAAGGGAGGTCAGGGTGGATTTAGCAGGAAAACCACACCCCATGGGACTGCTCCCTGGAAGCCCTCGTGGGCCTTGCCGTGCCCACAGGGCAGACACAGAGCCCAAGGCTCACACCCCACATCTTCCAGCAGCTTTGAATCATCCCCTCCCTCCA